GTGAGCAGCTGGTTAGTTAGAGCTTTGTCTAATGCTGGGCTTGATCTGCCGACCATTTGGACAAGAGAGGATTTTTTATATATTTATGGTCATGAACTCGGCTCCGAAAGCTGTAAGACAGCCCCGAAACAAATCTGAGCCTGGGAAATATTCTGGAAGCATGGAAAGTCAGAGCGGGTCTCGCTCTGGGAAGGACACAGCCTGTCCCCAACCACATCACTCGGGCCACATCAAGCCCTGCTAACGGAGGGGTGAGCGCTCCCAGCACCACCAAGCACGAAACCAGAAATATTTGTCATCATGACCATGTGTCTTTTATCTGTGGGTTGCAAAACACATGAAAATAGTCAGGCGTCTCTCCCCGCCCTTACAGGTAGCATTTTACCAGCGTTCTCACTGGGAGGATGGAAGCACACACTTCAGGGACAGATGCTGAGAGCCTGAGTCTCTGCGTTCAGCCACAAAACCGTGTCCCTCTTACAGCACAGCGATGCCTCTTCTAGACCCAGCTCCCATCAACACAGACACTCAACAACCGCTTGCACTGGTTTGGTGCTGGATGTTTCTCAGACTTTCCAGTGGCTCCAGCAGCCAGGCTGTTTGTGCTTTTAACTTTATCAGAAGTCCTTTCCCCTCCCTCTCCACCCGTTCGCCTGGGCAGCTGCTCAGGGGGTTCCAGGGGCGCCTGACACACACCAAACCCTTGCACAGCACTGCAGGGATTGAGCTCTCCCCCTTCCCAAACAGAGATCAAAGGAAGCATGCACTTGGGACCCCAGAGAGGACTCTCTGCTTTCATTCTCCACCCAGCATAAACAAACAGGGCCACATGTTTATCCTGCACTCCATTCACAACACGATAAATATTTATTTCAAGTGAGCAGCTGGTTAGTTAGAGCTTTGTCTAATGCTGGGCTTGATCTGCCGACCATTTGGACAAGAGAGGATTTTTTATATATTTATGGTCATGAACTCGGCTCCGAAAGCTGTAAGACAGCCCCGAAACAAATCTGAGCCTGGGAAATATTCTGGAAGCATGGAAAGTCAGAGCGGGTCTCGCTCTGGGAAGGACACAGCCTGTCCCCAACCACATCACTCGGGCCACATCAAGCCCTGCTAACGGAGGGGTGAGCGCTCCCAGCACCACCAAGCACGAAACCAGAAATATTTGTCATCATGACCATGTGTCTTTTATCTGTGGGTTGCAAAACACATGAAAATAGTCAGGCGTCTCTCCCCGCCCTTACAGGTAGCATTTTACCAGCGTTCTCACTGGGAGGATGGAAGCACACACTTCAGGGACAGATGCTGAGAGCCTGAGTCTCTGCGTTCAGCCACAAAACCGTGTCCCTCTTACAGCACAGCGATGCCTCTTCTAGACCCAGCTCCCATCAACACAGACACTCAACAACCGCTTGCACTGGTTTGGTGCTGGATGTTTCTCAGACTTTCCAGTGGCTCCAGCAGCCAGGCTGTTTGTGCTTTTAACTTTATCAGAAGTCCTTTCCCCTCCCTCTCCACCCGTTCGCCTGGGCAGCTGCTCAGGGGGTTCCAGGGGCGCCTGACACACACCAAACCCTTGCACAGCACTGCAGGGATTGAGCTCTCCCCCTTCCCAAACAGAGATCAAAGGAAGCATGCACTTGGGACCCCAGAGAGGACTCTCTGCTTTCATTCTCCACCTTTTAATCATAGAATGGTTAGAGTTGGAAGGGACCTAAAGATCATCCAGTTCCAACCCCCCTGCCCTGGGCAGGGACACCTCCCACCAGACCAGGTTGCTCCAAGCCCCATCCAACCTGGCCTTGAACCCCTCTCCAGGGATGGGGCAGCCACATCTTCCCTGGGCAACCTGTTCCAGTGCCTCACCACCTTTGCAGGAAAGAATTTCTTTCTGGTATCTAATCTAAATTTCCCCTCTTCCAATTTAAAACTGTTCCCCCTTGTCCTGTCACTGCACTCCCTGACAAAGAGTCCCTCCCCAGCTCTCCTGTAGCCCCTTCAGATATTGGAAGGATGTGTTGTGATGCGGCTATGAAGGCCAGGAGGAAGTAGGTATTTTAGGAGAAAATTCAGCTACAGTCCTTGTCCTCCTTCTGCCAGGCTGTGGCTGGCACGTGGCATCACCGACCCAGCACCACGTCCCAGCTCTCCTGTGCGGGAGCCCCTGCTGCGTGGCTCGGGGTGGACACATGTACCCAATCGGTCGTGCCTCATTAAGGGATTACACCATATTTACAGCAAATCGCTACAGGAAAACAAGGCCTGAAACACTGCAGGAGCAATTAGCTGCTAACGAGTCTTCATAGATAATCTACCGGACACTTGTTTCTCACTCCAACTGTAATTGCTGCTTTAGCATCAGCTACAGCAGCCAAGAGCCACCAAAAAACCCTTTATCAGCAAAATAAATTAGGGGCTGCTGATTGCCACGTCTGCACTCCTCAGGGCAGCGGGGAGCTCTGGAGAGGTCCTTGGAGTGGCTCTTGGCAAGGCCCAAGGATGGGGAACCCACCTCCAGCCCGGGGAAGCTTCGGGGGGTGAGAGGAGGACAGAGGAGGAGGGGGCACTGCATGCAGTGCCGGGAAGGGGGTGCTCATCACTGCCTGATGGGGCTCAGGTCGTCCCCCAGCACAGCCTGGGACCCCGACCCACCTCCCACAGCCTCACCCAGCAGCTCCATGGCCCCCCCACTGGGATCTGTTCTCCTCCCAGGCTCTGAACCCCACTCCAAACCTCACCGTGCCCTGCCTGGGGACACGGGTGTTTTACCTTCCTGCTTGGTGTCGCCTCCCAACCAGCAGACATTTGGTGCTGGTGAGTCTGGGCTGAAGGAACCGTGTCCTCAGCAGCAAAACCAGATGCAGTTTGGAGCCAGACCTGCCTTCCCCGGCACACACAACCACCTACAGACCCTCCTGACCTTCAAACGACAGAGAACCGAAACAAGCTGTGTCTCCTGCAGACTGGCTGGGAATAAAAAGTGAGAAACTGTTGTTTCTGTGTCAAAACTCCAGGGAGATGCTCAGCCAGGTGATGCTGGGGAGCGGGAGAACACGGCAATCAGACCTTTGTAAGGGCATGGACTCGTCCTGTCCCATCCTCCCTGGAGTGGGCCGACAGGGGCTGCCCCACGGAGGGCAGGGGCCGCAGCTCCAGCAGAGACCCCCCGAGCAGCCCAGGCACCCCCTGCCCTCTCCTGGGGCTGTGTCCCCTCCCTGGGTCGTGGTGCTCGGCCACAGAGGTGTACCCATGTCACACAACCAGGGCAAGTGGCTGCTGCCATCTCCCACTCCGTGCTTTTTTACCTTCCTGCTGCTTTTCCCTTCCTCTGCTCGTCCAGCTCCTCTCCAGAGGACACACCACCCCATTCCCATGCTCCAATTACTCCTGTTGCTCCGAGAGCTCTCTAAACCCTGCACTAACGCTGCCAGCAGCTGACAGGCAGGGACAGCAGAAGCTCTGTTTTAGGGGGAAAATGCATCGAGCCTGTTTACTGCTTGCTGTGTCCCCTGTGTGGAGCCTCTGGGATCCCAAGCACGGATGCAGACACACGTCTAGAAACACACTTGCTCTCTCTGGAGCCTCCCCGGTACCGATGGCAGGAGCAGTGACAACAGCTCTCAGCCATGCCCGCACGTGATCCATGGCGTGGGGATCAGGGAGAGCCCTGAAGCCTTTGGCAGACACTGACAGGGTCTTCCATAGCCATGTCATTCCACAAGAGCCCTGGCACCAATGCCACCAGGGCCACAGAGCCCCCGGTGCACGGGGGGGACAGAAGGCAGGGCTGTGCCCAGAAACCACACGCTGATGGCACCAGACCCCAGCACAAGGAGCGAGGATGGGGACACCAATGGTGCCCTCCTCGTGTAACCACACAACACTATTTCACAGGCTGTGAGCCACAAGCCACTTCTGTCCCCACCGAGGGCAATGCAGCCGAGGGGACCAGGACTGGCATCCTCCCCTGTGCTCCTGGGGCCTGACACTGATGCTGGGATCAGGAAGGCTTTAACCGAGCTATTTTCTCTGCCTCTGCAACAACAGGCCGGCGGCCCCGCAATCCTCTCAGTGAGCTTTGCCTGCCTTGAACTAGATCAGGAGGCCAAGCCACTTCTCTGCTCGACAGATGGTAACTAAATCTAATCCACGAGCCCGGCCACGTTCCCTGCAGCAGCCGCAGCCGAGCCTGGCGACTGCCCCTCAGGTGAGGAGCCCACGTCTCTGCAGCGCCAGAAAAGCTTTAGAAACCTTGCTCTTCCCTGCAGAGTTCAGGGAGATGTTAACAGAGAAAAATGCTGATTTAACTCCTGCAGTCCTGGCACTGCCCACCACGGCTGTGACACGCCAGCTGAGGATGGAAGGATGCTCCTCCATGCCCCGTGTGCCAGGGACCTCAGCACTCGCCTGTGCTCTCCAGTAAGGTGGTCTCCAGCTCTGCTCACCCTGCCTCTACCCCCACAGACCCCAACCAGGATTAAATCCCACTCTCTGCCTCCTCCTGGCCTGCTTCTCCTCCAGACCCGGCAGGGGATTCCCAGCCATGAAGGATGTTCAAAGCAGCCCACAAAAACTGAACTTCCACCACTCCCAAGTTGGCTGGCACCAACCCTGCCAGGAGCACTGCCCTGGGAGCACCCCAGGACCCCCACACCCCCTCACACCTCCCCTCCAAAAGCATCAGGACAGACTTTCACGTTGGTGCCTGTTCACATTGCTTACTTTTACACCGGTGCCTGTTCACAAAGTAGAGCCTGACCCCTGAGCCTCCAGAAGGAGAGAAAAACGACTCCATCGGTATCTTGTGGTCCCACCAACCTCTTTGATAATTAAGCAGTTCGTATTGCACATGTCACCAACTTGTTTGTAATTAAAAGTGAAAATAGGGTGTGTTAATGATGGCTAGGCCTGAAACCCAACCCATGTGGTGATTTCCAACACAGGACTCTGCTCCTGGTGGACTCTGGTGGGACGCAAGGGGCGACGAAGGGTCTTACCTTGGCCTTGCCTGTACTCTGCAGGATGTGCACCAGCGCGGACGCCATCTCCTCTTTGTTCTTCACGCTCAGCGAGGGCTCCAGCACCGAGCACAGCACCATGTAATTGTTAGTGATGTACTCGGCAAACTCTTTGTACATCTCCATGGGAAGGATGCTCATACTCTGGTAGCGCGACTTGATGCGGATCATGGGCCCCGGGGACTTGCCCTTCCCGGGGTTGGGGCTGACCACGGGGTACCATTTCTCTACAAACTGCCGGCCCGTGACAGAGCTGACGGGGATGTTCACCTGTCCTATGAAATTGGTCTTGTCCTTCTTTTTCTTCTTGTCAGTCTCTTTGTATAAGTGCACCGTAATGTTTTTGAGCGATGGGAGGTTATTAAATTCAAAGTGCTCCCCCCAAAATACATTATCAGTTTTCAATTTACAGGTAGTTCGTGCATAAAGAACGTCGTCCAGGCATAATTCACACAAGTACTTTTTCTTAGCTGGCAGGTCCTTGGCTTCAATAATCCATAACTTTAACATATTCTCTACCCTTCTGCTGTTGTCCTGAAAAAAAGATGCAAAGAAAAAAAGGTCAATAAAAAAAACAGAAAGCCAAGCACAACAAAGCTGGAGATAGGAGTTAATTATTTCGGATGTGCTAAATGAGCAGAGGTTTAATTACATTTTATTTTAAGGAAATACTGGCTCACAGGAATGTGCATAATAACACTACTTATGTTAATTTTCCAAATATCACCATGCTCTCCATGTCTGTTGGTGCCAATTAATGTAAGGAACAAGGAAGATAAAACCCCTCCAAATCATAAATGTACCATTTCCTCTTCACCGCCGTGAGGGCCTGAGAAGAAGCTGAAAGAACCTCCCTGATCACCAATGGCTTTTGCAGGACAGAAGCTGTGTCAGAGGCATCTCACAACCACCTCCTTTTTTAGCAGAGCTGCTTTACAGCACACTGAAGCACACTTGCTTTACTGTTAACAGAGCAATAGTAAAGGGATCTGAACGCACCCCCAGGGATCACCTCATCCATGGCTGGAGCACAACCACCTCCAGCAGGGGAAGCAGCACTTACAAACCTTGCCATGTTTTAGGGCAGAATTCCAGAGCACCCAACTAAAACATCGAGAGGAGTTATGAGAGGCAGAGTGAGTCACACAGGACAATCATTACAGCTCAGAAATAGAAATTTGGCTCGGGTACCTTTTAAACACTAACGGAGAACAGGATACTGTGGGTCTTTAAGAGCTCCCCAGTGATGCTGACCTCATCCTGGAAGAACATCCAGGGATGTTCGTTGCAGGAGTGACTTGAAAGATAAAGCACTGGGAGCTGAACCACTCACTGCTCAGGATTCTGCAGAGCCCTGTTTTGTTTGGAAAACCCCTCACTGAACCAGGAACCGCGGCTTTCCCTGCTCAGCCAAGGAGTCTGGGCAGGGACCTTTCTACTGGAAGGCCACAATGGGGTACTGTAGGTTCAGGAAGTACATGCAGGAACTACACAAGAACACTGAATTCCTGACAGAAACACCAAGTCAGATACTGAGAGTTTATTGTCTACGAACTCAGAACAAAGACGGAAAGTTAGCCATCAGTTACTGGCATGACTGGAGATGAGGGCACACTTCCAATTGGATTTCCACTGCACGCTGCATCTCAAAGCCACAGTGATGGGCCCAGCCCCACCTCACATTCCCAGCACTTTTCTCGTGGTAAGTGTGACCATGCAAGCCTCACACAGCTATTTCAGATCATTACTCTGTGCTGCTGCATCCGAGAGCACCAGAGTCACTGAATTCCACAGGCAGGGACACTCTGCTGGAGGAGAAACCCATCTCTCCCCTCTGCTCCTCCCGTTCTGAGATTGAAGGAAATGTTTTATACTGACATTTGTGCTGGGAACAGCAAACTCCGACATGGAGGGCTCCTTTAATAACCCGCTGTGCCTGGACCTAACTCATATACACAGTTACGTGGCTCTGACACCAGGAATGAATTCACAGGATCCCATCATTTGTGTCTCCTCTGCTCAGCAGAAAAAGACTTGTTGATTGAGCTCATCAGCTGTGAAATCCTGCAGCTGATCAGTCCCGATCAATCTTTGGTAGCTAACTCCAGTGCAGAGAGGGAGAAGCAGCTGTAGATTTTATTTTAGGATGTGCTTAGTTTTAGTGGGTCATGAAAGCATATTGGGTGTCCCTGTGTTCTAGTGAAGAGAAGGATTTCTTTCCATCCAACCCCGGCGGGGATGACTCCACCACCTCAACTGACTGGGGAAGGGAAAGCTGAGGTCCACCAGTGCCTCAGAGAACTCACCGTGATGGGCATCTGAGTTTCCCCATCCCTAAAGCAGACGCTGCAAAATACTACAGGAGTCAGGGAGTGTGATGTGTCAACTCTTCGGACTATTCAGTCTTGCACTTTGCTGGCCGCTACCTGACATCTGCCCCGGAGCTTTTGGGAGGTGGGAAGTCCTACGTAAGCAGCAAGTATCATCAGTAACAGAGCAAGACCAAAGATTCTTCAGGTCTGATCAATTCTTAGCAACAGCTGAAGCAGCATGTGCTGAGAAAAGCTGGGGGGGGAAATAATTGGTACTTGCCTGTAAATATAATTGTGGAAGAAAGCAATATGGAAAAAGGCTGACCCACAGTTACACTTACTCGCTGAAATGACAATACGTCCCCTGCTGATACTATGCACTGGGCTATAAAATGTAATAACGAGGAACTGAACTATAACAGAGGCAATTCCTCAAAGCCACTACCTTATTTGGGTGCACGGCACGCCGCAGGTTTTCCATCCATTTATCTCGCTCTGCTGCAGAACGACACGAGAAGCACTTACTTCCTGATGAAGTCGTCACCTACAGGGAAAGGAACAGGATTATGTCTTGACCAGCACACTGCAGATTGTGATTTGGGGGGAGAGGGGGAGTTAGGAAAGATGCTAGAGGATTTTTGTTCTTTTTTTTTTTTTTTAAAGTAAACAGCTTTACCCAAGCATGAAGCAACAGCCCCTAAGGCTAGCGGAAAAACAGGGCAACTCTGTATGTCACAGAAATAATCATGGAAGCAAATTCCAATTACTTCTCCTCTTCCACACCAGAAAACACTAGATAATGGGCCCCATGCATGCGCCGCTTTAAACCCCCAAGTTCCACAACTGAGAGAGTGCAAATCCTTAGATGAACTACAGATAAATTGCAACCGCTTGGCATTCCTCCAGATCCAGCCCAAAGCCCGTGACAGTAACAACCCATTCCTTGTTTTCAGCACAACATCAGGCCAGGAAAGGCTGGTTTCCTACCTTCCCCATCGCTTCTGAAGGCCATGGGGATGACTATACACACCCCACCCCTGGCAGCAGCAAGGGCAGGGGCTGACAGCCCGACTGAAGGCACTCCAGTGCTCACAGCACCTTGTCCCCAGCTGGGGAGGACCAGGATGGGGCTCCTGGATCTGGAGATGGCCAGTGAAATGCTGCTGAGCCCTCCTCTCACCACTCATGCTTCCAGTATCACCCCAATGGATCTCTCTGCAGTGTATGTGTCACTTTCTCTGGCCATCGCGATTTCACAGCCAGGTTTTGGAGAAGCATGCTCACAGCAGTGACATTTCCAGTGGTGCCAACACTCTTCATTCCTTACCACATCTCTGCTACCACATGGAAACTCAACCCTGTTGAGAGCCCACTGAAGCAACCCCTGCCCAGCAGCCCCAGAACGACAGGCACCGAACGTTTCTTCCTGCCCACCACACCAAGCTTCCCTGGCACCAGTTCCTGAGCCAGGGTCTAAAAGGTCAATAGTTCTCTGCATCTCCTCACACACTTCTCAACCTGCTGTCTCCTCCAGGCCCTGCTGGCAACCCGACAGCCCACGACCGTGGTACCAGGACTCTGCACTGCCCATAAAGCCCTCTGATGGCTGCTCTGCCCTTCTTTCCAGTCGCTGCTTTTGGTGATGCCCAGTAAATATTCTTTATGTACATCTCTGCCTCAGGCCAGATGGACCTGGCTAGGACTTTAAATAACTCCTCTTTGAGCTTCACGTCTGCCAGTCTCAAGCTGCAGAATTATTTCTGAGCACTTTATCATCCCACAGTGTTTGTGTTTACACACTGCACACTGGCTTATCTGCTTCTGGGAGACACAATCTCCTTTAATTTCATGTATCTCCCAGAAGCCTAACCTGTTCTTACAGCGGAGCCAGCTCTTGCTAAGGTTTGTCATTAGCCAACCTCAGTGATGAGCTGAGCACATCCCTACCTTTGAACACAGCCATCTGCTAACCAGGACAAAAGAAGATGCCTATCCTGTCCTTGCACAGCAGATGCAAGGAATCTTCCAACCCTTGATATCCCAGAAACTCTCCTTCAGGCAGACACTCCTCCCCGTCCTCACATGCTTTCATCCTCTGTCCTGTAAAACTATACAGAGCTTAAGTTATCTTATATTTCCCAGAAAAGACGACTCCATATTAGTAGGCACAACAGTATGATCTTCTCAGCATCCCTTCACACTTCAGTGTACCTCCAGCTTCTTCCAAGTTTCCTATTACAAATCCAGCCTGCTTCACCTCCTCTTTGCTGCTGCAGATGCTCATGTGAACCTCTGTCCCTGAACCTTCACAGACAGACTTCTGGTGGCACAAGAGCTGTATCACTTGAGGACTGTGTCCGTCGCATGTGATCCCTGGCCTTCCTCTGCCAGAGGGTAAGGCTGGTTTGGATCTTGATCCTTTTCTCAGTAAAAATTCCTGCAGCAGCATTCAAGCCGAGCACAGCCCCACATCTGACTGGTAATGACACCTACGGCCGCATCGCTGCTGACATGGTGCCGTCCTGTCTTAACACTGGATTATAAACACAACAAGCCCAGAAGTACCACTTCACAACAGTTTTTAAGGACAGAATTTCTAGTGAAGTAACAGGGAAGATGCCCAGCAAACGAGCATTGCTCCAGACAGTGCCCTGGTCACTCGAGTGATGTGAATTTCCAAGGCTTCAAAACCGTTCCTCAGACAAGAGCCTAAAGGTTCAGAACACGAGCCCTGTCTTATTTGGTCCATTTAATTCAGCTGCTAAAGACTCAAAATCATCCATGGCTGGGTTTCTGTACCCCACAGGGGGAAACACCCTCCCACTGACATCCTGACTAAGGGCTGCAAAATTCAGTCCCCACCCATTGCTTAGAAATCAGTTAATAAAGGTGGAATTGGTCAAACACACCTTTCAGTAAATGACACCATTAGTCCGTTGCCTCAAAGGCCATTTCTCCCTCTTTTGTTTTGATGGGAGTTTGGTGTACAAATGCATTTGAAAGCAAATGTTCTCAGATCTAAAGAATTTCACAGGAAACTTGGAAACTCTTCCATAAAAGAGAATTATGGCTTCTTGGACTGCTGTTGAAAGATGCTCTCCTAAAGACAAGTCCTCCCCGGTGACACACATGGATCCCACAGCTGCCTAGAAGATTCGTATCCAAATAAATAAACATGCAATTTAGCTGTCCTTCCACTGAGTCTGTTAATTAAATGTCAGTTTTTTACCAGCTATCTGTTGGGTTGAATATCTAATATATTTTCTTGCCACACTTAAGTCAACATATTATCATTAAATTATCATGGTAAAATTTATGATTCAATTCCAAAAAAATTACTGATTAACTAATCACTCAAAACTTTAAAAAGCTATAACTGTCAAACCAAGTGAGAGAAGAAGGAAATCTTCATGTGTCAGATACGAAGCCCTCTTGATCTGACCGAGCTGCAGGTCCTATCTACCCTGTGTGACCAAAAATGTGGTTTTCCCCAGATCTGCAGTAACATCCCAGCTTTGAGCTCTGGCCTAAACATCATACGGCATTAATGATCTTCATGAGATATTAATTATCTTGATAAAGAGAGTATTCTGGTCCCATCAAGATTTTGGATATGCTAGAATACTATTAATGTACAGGATAAACTCAATTAATAGAACTCATTAATTTCTAAAATGTTACTTATTCACATTCATTATCCACAGTCCTCGGATGGGTGATCCCTTAAAGCCAGTCATTTTAAGAACGTCTTAGATACAGCCTGGGTTTCTTAAAGACAATGGAAGGAATCCCGCTGGAGTAACAACAGAAGATGAAAGCTGAGCTACCAAAGCTGCTTCCCTCAAAGTGTTCCCAAGATTTTGGGAGGAAAAGCGAGGGCTCAGGCTGGTAAAAACCATCATCCCCAAGCGCAGAAGGACAAACCAGCGCTGCCGGGGCCAGCCCTGTGTCTGAAGGGCCACGCCAGCAATGGCGAACATTTGCACAGCTGGACTAAATTTAGAGGAGCTAAATTTAGCTCCGCTGAATTCTCCCTCGCTCAGGCAAGGCCAGGATGAGGCGACACAGTTTCTGTTGCGTTGGAGTAGCGGCAGATTTTCTTACTCCTGCTCCCTGTCCCCCCGCTACGTCCTGCCACAGCCCAGGGACAAGCCGTGCAACGGGACGAGCCCTTGGTCTGCCAAGAGAGACACAGAGCCCTTGTGTCCCCTCTCCCCCATCACCAGGACCCCAAAACAGCAGAGCCAGGAACGCTCTGGGCTCCCAGACTCCTTCACGGGGCTCAGATGCCCACTGTGTATCAAGCACATGCAGCATATGCAGAGGCACCAGATGGTTGTGCTGACAGGGAGGTCTTATAAGGAGAAAGAAGATGACGTTGAGTAACTTTTTTAAAAAAAAAAAAAAAAAAAAAAAATCAATGAAGAAAACAGGTAAATACTGACTGCCAAGTACTCAGCAAGTCAGGAAAAAAGCAAGTTTCATAGCACATCCCCATAAGAGGATGGTGAATAAATTTTTTAAAAAAAAAAAAAAAAAAAAAAAAAAATCAATGAAGAAAACAGGTAAATACTGACTGCCAAGTACTCAGCAAGTCAGGAAAAAAGCAAGTTTCATAGCACATCCCCATCAGAGCCTGGCGGAGGGAGCGGGGCTGAGCCAGCACGTCCCACTGCAGGTCAGTGGAGCTGAAGGAGAGAGACAATTCCACCTTCCTCCGGCCAGCTCCCTGAAACGAGCCACTTGGGTTTTTTCCACTGCAGATGGCTTTGGCACCTCTTGCTTTTGTCTCCGTTTTGGGTGCGCTGCCAGTTCTCTCCCTGAACCTGCCCTCTTCGGCCGACTCCCATCTGCAGCCACGTCAAACCCTGACGTCTTGTCCTCTGAGCCACCAGGCTGGTGCCGCAGCGCGGTGGAGGAGGACCTGAGGCACGTCATCATTGGTGAGGGACCCCAGAGGACATACGGAGCCAGCCCAGCCAACTGAGCACCGACATCCCAAGGGAGAGCAAAGAGACACCAACCAGCTGGTGATGGACGCAGCCCCCAGGCACTGCCCGACCACCCCACTGCAAGGAGAAGGTAGCTAAGAACTGTGTAAGGCAGGCACTGCCCACCAACAGCAGTGCTTCACTTCTCAATTTGAGACAGCAAACTTGGCCATTCCTGACAGATCTGCCATGAGAACAGATCCACAACAGCCTCAAAGTGCAGGGACAAGGCACCATTTCCAACCCACGGCACCTTCTCACTCCACTGTGTAGAAAATGTCTTGGTTCCCCTTCTCTCCATGACTCTGGCAGTAACTTCTCACTTGACACTTCTTAGTCAGGGCTCTTTTCCCAGGACACCAGCCGAGCTTCTCACTCCTCTGTTCTGTTCCGTTCCCACAGACAGCAGTGCCATGGCTCTTGGCCATCAGCTTTCCCAGTTCCAGGCCACAGCAATCACCACAGGTTTTACTGCTCTTTGCTGAGCTTCCACCAAAAGGCAGCAGCAGCCTGTGCCAAGCATTGCCTCTACTTTCAGGTAAAGCAACACTGAGGGACACATACGGGACCCTCAGGACATAGTAATAACTGAGGGATACATTCAAGCCCTGAGGAGAAGATGCACGTGCAGCTTTGTCGCTTGGCTTTCACCATCGCCTGACATGGAGAACCATAGATTCATCATAGAATCACAGAATGGTTTGGGTTGGAAGGGACCTTAAAGGTTATCCAGTCCCATCCCCTCTCATTGGCAGGGACACCTTCCACCAGACCAGGTTGCTCCAAGTCCCCTCCAACCCGGCCTTGAACCCCTCCAGGGATGGGGCAGCCACAGCTTCTCTGGGCAACCTGGGCCAGGCTCTCACCACCCTCACAGCAAAGAATTTATTCCTAATATATAAACCTCCCCTCTTTCAGTTTAAACCCATTTCCCTTCATCCTATGGCTCCAATCCCTGATCAAGAGTCCCTCCCCATTTCTCCTGTAGCCCCCTTTAGGAACTGGAAGGGGCTCTAAGGTCTCCCCAGAGCCTTTTCTTCTCCAGGCTGGTGACAGGGCTGTCTGTGCCAATGCTGGGGGGGGTTGGCAGGGGAACCAGCAGTAGCCACCAGCCCGTCCCAGCACACACTGCTCCTCTGCTCGGGCACAAGGCATGGCCCAGAGGACACATCAACCCTTCGCCTCGGCCGGCTATTCCTGGGCACACGGTGGAGAACTGTGGCCACTGCCTGCGACCCAGGGACCCTGGGAGATCTGCAAACTCATTTCAGTGCCAACCACGCTCCGTGTTTGGAAGAGTCTTTCTGGAGATACGAGACCAAGGTGTTAACACAATATGCCATTAAGCTCTCACCTCAGCCCTTCCCGCCGGAGCTTGCTGATGAGTAACCGTCCCTCACAAATCAATGTCCCTTTTGTTTTCTGGCATTCTTCCTCTCCTCCGCAGGATTTGCAGATCAGCAATTAACGTGTTCTGTTCTTCTGTATGACTCTTCTTTATCCACCTCACTTAAAAATAAAATTTTCTTCCGCCTTACAAGTGCATGACTTGTGTAATTTCCCTCAACTTTCTACAAGTAGTGTTCATATCCCTTCCTCTGCTCTTGCGCGCCGAACAGAATTGGTAAACAACTCTTATATTATGGATGTCACATCTATTTTCCATCTAGCTTCATTTTATCTTCCTTGAGTGGAATGTAATAGAGGCCATATAATTTACAAAACTGTTCTCCTCCTGACCTGCCGCACTTGCTCAATTCTACAGAGAATGAGCAGCACTGGAAAATTTACACCTCAGCCCACTTCGGAGTTTATATTTGGGGCTATTTTTTGTGAGACCGTTTTTGCATTACCAGCTGACATTTTAAGAAACAGATCTTTTAACTCATTTCTCTCTGAGTGTGCTAATTTCAGTAAAGTAAAAAAACAGTATCTTCATCTCTCTGGTCTGACTCCTCTTGGGCACTGCCAAAGCCACCTTCATCCACTACTGCCCACCTGCAGTCCCACCACCCGCCCACAGCACGATCCCACCACGGATATACACTCTATTTGTGTCCAAGTACAAGCAGGTTCCCTTCTCTCCACAGAAACGCAAGTATCGACCACTTTATTACTGTAAGAAAACCATTTCCCAGTTCTACATCCAGCCACTGCCATAAGCAATCATACTTTGCCATCCACGATGCAGGACAAATGATTCCCAAGACACGCTACATTGAATTATCCAACTACAGACTGGTTTGTACGTGTCCTACCACCTCCTGCTAGCACAGACCTAACCACATGCCACAACAGATGTTAAAAAAAAATTTGAAATACTCACAGATTTTTCTATTTACCCAAGCAGCGAAGCTTCAGTTTTCTAGACAAAGTCCTCAACACTCCCACTGACAACAGCGGGCTATCTTTGTGACCACGTACAACGTCTTTGTCAACACTGAGTAGGGATTAGCGCTTTCTGATATCTGTATGAACAGAAACTACAAATTTCTGCTCTGTGAATAACAGCCTTGAGTAGCTCAGCACCTGCAGCGGGCTCTGCTGCCACAACGGTGATGAGGCGAGGAGCTCACTGCTCTGATGTTGTGGGTATGATCCTCCTTGGAACGATGGGAGTAATTTCCTGCTTATGAAACGGTCCCTGTCTCGCAATTCAGAGCAGAAATGTTTTCCAGCAGCAGAAGCCCGCGATGCCAGCCCTCACCCAGCCATCCCATCACGCAGCAGGAGCGGCCCCGGGATGGAGAGAAGGGCTCCTTACCTCAAAGCAATAGTCTTGTCCCAGGATGCTGCTATGGACGGGCTTGATGACCACTTCTTCCTCCATGCTGAGATCCAGAGCCTCAACAGCACTACTGGGACTGAGCAAAGACTCGTGGGAGCGCGATTCTTTCAGCCTCGGCATTAGATGGGATCTAGAGGAAAAACGTAACGGTATCAGTGGAAGAGGGTAGATTCAGAATAGATATTAGGAAGAAACTTTTCACTGTGAGGGTGATGAGAGCCTGGCCCAGGTTGCCCAGAGAAGCTGTGGCTGCCCCATCCCTGGAGGGGTTCAAGGCCAGGTTGGACGGGGCTCTGAGCAACCTGGTGTGGTGGGAGGTGTCCCTGCCCAGGGCAGGGGGGTTGAAAAGAGACAATCTTTAAGGTCCCTTCCAACTCTAACCATTCTATGAGTCTGTGACTGGGTTTGCAGGTGTGTGGGACATCCACTAGCATCCTACTTTCCATGCTGTTTTGCAACACCCAGTCCCTCCCGACAGAAAGAATTCACCTGAAAACGAGGAGAAATTAACGATACAACCCCCTAAAACCTCAGCCCTGTGTCTGCTCAGTGTGCCCAGGAGCAGCTGGCACTGCCAGGGCAGATGCCATCCCATTCTCCCCCCATCCCCTTCTCCCCACCAAAACGCACACAGCTGGACCACAGCTGCAGCCCGTCTCTGTGTCCACACTCCACAACCAATAACCCAAGGGCTCCTGCGCTCTCTCCAGTTGTTACACACATCCCCGGGACGGGGACGGCGTGGAAAATAAGGCCATGATAGCCCTATCGATTGATCTAAATGCTCTGGAGTCCCACTGGCAGCATTTAGCAGCAGGGAGCCCACAGACAGCAAGCAGCACACCATTTTCCAGACAGCCAATACAATCAATGGTGCTGTAACTCTTAAAGCAAAACCAGAGAGCTCAAGGGGAAGGAAAAAAAAAAAAAAAAAAAAAAAAAAAAAGAAAGAAAGATAGCTAGGTTCTCCCAGGGAAAACACAGCAAAACCATAAACTGGCAAGGGAGAAAATAACTTGAGAGCAAAAGGAGCAGTTGCCTTCTCTATGGCCTGCACTGTGTAAAATGTTCCCACACCAACCAGCTCAGAAAAGCTCTGATCCCGGTAACTCTGACCTTTAAAACCTCTGGCAAGCACTTTAGGGTCTTCCAAAGAGACCATGTGTCCCTCTGTCCTCAAAGCGAGTATGAGCCTTCTTCAAAGGCACGGAAGGACAGAGAGAAGGGGACTCAGAGATATTCTCAGCACGGGTCTTTCATAAGCGAAACAACAACGCTGCCAGTATGCTCTCAGATTGCTTTGTCTGTTGAGTTTTGTTGAGTTTTGCCGTTCTCTAGAATAAAGCTGACCAAAACAGAGAGAAATGTCAATAGCACATGCAAAATTCATCGCTCCCAGTGAATCACACGCCAAGCTGGATGGAGGAGACAGCCAAAGGAGCCGCGGAGATAAACAGCGGTGGAAGATAAACAGGTGCTGCTCTAGATTTGCCATTAAGATTCACACCATGGATGAAGCCCCAGGTGATAAGGCATCAGCCAGCAGCTGGGTTCTCCAGCTGAGCACGCTAAATGGACGGCTCTGAAAGCCTGGGGCCACCACTCCTCCCTGGCCTGGGGACACGCAGGGACAGCCCGGCCTCCGGACACCTCCCTGCACCTACCGAGGCCGATGGCCATGACCAGCTCTGGTGGGACTGGCTCTGCTCTGCAGAAAACAAGGCAATGACACCACATTAGGGGCCAACCACCAGCCCTCAGATGCTAAAAGGCCTGGGTCGGACAGCCCCGTGGTGGATCAGGCGCGGTGCCTGGGAAGCACAAGGCTCTCTATCCCATTAGCAATTCTCTAAACTGCCCATTCACCCCCTATCTCTACGGTGAATAAATTGATCTTTAGGAACCGAGCACAGTCGTTTCCCAGTACTTTCTGGCAATTTTACACTATTTTCACAGAAAAGGGTCCATATACTTTTTCCTCTGGATGATACTGTAAATTAACTCTAATACAGGCAGACAGATCAAGCTACCTCTGGATGCTGAGTGCAGAACTAATATCCAGCAGCTCAAGACCTGACAATACAGGCTGCTCACCAAGCCCCGATAAGCCCAGAATCAAGGCATTTATGGCAAATCTTATTTCCATATTTTACAGATGAAATGAGAAAAGGTAAGTAACCAAGCTGAGGCTTGCATACTTGTTTGGATAAATATAAATATTGATAAACTAAACCACAGCTCAGGAAATACATACAGAAATGCGCACGTGCACATCACCGAGCAGGACCGCTTCCTGCTGGCCTAAGAATTTTTGTTAAAATTAAAACAAAACAAGCCTATTTTTCATATAAAACTACTGCAGCTGCAAGGCCACGGGCGGGAGTGCAGATGTGGAATACGAAGAATTACCAAGGGGGAGTTTCTCAGGACAGATTATGTTCTCACCAGATTCAGCGAACGTGTATTTATATCTCTCCATACTCTGCCGTGTGCCTCTGGGAATCCTAAAATTAACGGGAGTTTTCTTGGGCAGGAGGTTATTTGTCAGGTTCTTGCCCCGGTGGGACTCTCTCCCACGGAGTCTTTACCCCTGATCAGACCCGACCCAGGACCATTCCTCACCAGCTGCCACGCTCGGAGGGAGCGCTCCAGGTCTCCAACCAGCCCTAAAAGGCCCAGCATCTGCCTGTGTATCAGGAGCTAAGAGGGGAGATGTCATTAATTAGAGACTCTGGTTTGAAATCTCAGCGGAAGGGATGAGGGATGTCTCTGCCAGAGGCAGAGCAGGCTGAGTGCTGCCTGAGCGAGCCCCCTCGCGGGGCTACTGGCCCCATCCCCTCCCCAGCACCCGCAGCCAGCCCTGAGGCTATGGCACGTAGCCCACAGCAATCCGGCACGGGCCGGGGGGGGCTGCCCCGGGGTGCAAAGAGAGTTATACACCACCAGCCTTCAAAGGACACACAGTTCTTTCATTTTAATACCCTGTTCTAGAGGAGAGAGCATTTCTGGTGTCCTTTGGTGAGTAACATGACATTTGCTGCAGGAGTCCACTTACTGGACGATGTTTGCGAGTCCCTGTCGCAGCTCCCACAGACCCCCCTTTGTATTAACAAGAAGAAAAAGGTCCTGCCAAGCCCACGAGCTGCTTCCCTGACTTGGGTGGCGAGGGCACTCTTCATACCCAATGGACGGCTCAGCTTTTCCCCAGTTTGGGCAGGGAGGGCATAAACCTGCCACGTGTGTGTTACAGTGAAGCCCTCGGAGCGCTAACGTCTCTGTCTTGTACTGCATCAGGCCATAAAGGACCTGGAGAGCTTCGTCCACAGACAATTTACTGGGCGAGGGCTGGCAAGTGCTAAAAAAAACCCCAACAAATCCACTTGCTGATGGAGAAGTGCAGATCCCTCCAGATCCACTCTGAGATTCCCCACCAGCAGCTGGGATTTGCCCCGGGGAGGCAGCACCTTTCTACCAGGAGACCCCAACACGCTGGTGGCCCTGAAGGAGTGTAAAGATGCGTCACTGCCGGTGGGGTGGCAGGAGCCACATCAGCAGGAGATAGACCCTCCTCAGCCTCCACCCAGCAAGGGCAGAGAGTTTATGGGGACAGAGACTCCAGAGTCCCTGCAAACTCATGCTCTGCCTTGGCTTGGCCACCCTAGAGCCATCCAACATCCCAACTCACCTGGAACACCATGAGCTTACTGTGTACATACACTTCCAAGATGACAGGGATGACAGGGGTCCTCTGTTCAAATTCATCTCTGCCACCACTTCTCAAACAGCTGCCTGTGGGACCATCCAATCTCCCGCTGCAATAACTCCCTGTTATTCCAGGTCCCGTCCCAGCCCAGGAGAGCTGACCAAATTCAGTTCCTGCACCTCTGCTTTAATATGGTGGGAACGGCCGGCTGCCCAGAGACATCTCACAGCAGGAAAACCTCCTTCCAAACAGCACATTCGGTTCCTTTTGCCATGGGCCTTATTTTAATCCCTTTCTACTTGCCTAAAGTTCAGTTGAAATGAAGGGGGGAAGAAAAAAAAAATCTCATAAAAGACCACATTAGTTCTAAAGAGAAATAACATTACTGCTACCGGCACTGACCTGGAGAGTCCTACAGAGAGGCAGCCGGTCTCTGGTTATTAAAGGAAGAGGTTTACTGCCCAACAGCGATGAGAGGGGATTGTTGTTCTAAATAATAAAAGTCATAAATTTTTCCCTTCACAATTACCATGTGAAGAGATGCGATCCCCCTCTGCCTCCTTCCTTCGCAGGCAGCCAAAAAGAATTAGGGACATCCAGAATGACTGGGCTGTGACAGCACACACACCAAACCTGCCCGGGACCTCACGGACTGTGGCGATGGCTTGGTGGACAGAAAGAGAGAAGCTCCTGAAACTTCAGGGCTGGGTTTTGAGCACTGGAGATGGCACCCATCCATCCCTCAGCAGCGGAGACCCCAGCTCTACAGGGTGACGGGAGGGACCGCCGATGTTCTCTCAAGAACAAAGATACTCTGCCGGGGCTACAAGGAAGGGAAAAAATTATAGCCTGTCCACAGAATTATTGTGGAATAAGTCTCGTGTGTTCAACTCATACACTCTTATTCCAGACCTGCTTTCTTGTGAAGACAAGCCCTCAAAGGGGCAACCACATCGGTTTTCATTTCAGAACCTCACCTGCCCGAAACCACCCACTGCTGCTTCTGTGGTTTCATGATGAAAGTTTTCCTGATGCTTTTGAGAGACAGAAACAAGCAGGGCACCTGGCTGGGGACCTGCAGAGGGATGGAACGGGCACAAAGCACAACACTGAAACAGGAGGAAAAAAAAAACCAAGAGCCTTTCCTAAGTCTCCTACTGCTCCACTCTGAGAGCACAAGCAGATTGGGGAACTCTGAAGGAAGCCCAGGCACTAAGCTGAAGATGTCCCATCAATACCAGCTGCAGAGTTGGCCTTTGCAACGTGAATGCCTCCCCATGGGGAGAGGGATCTGACCTCCCCAATTACAGGTTTGGCTCTGTGACACGTCCCCTGGCCAGGAAACACTCCCCACACGCAGCTTCTCAAGGGCTGGCAGCTCCTTCCTCAGACCAGCTGGGAGGAGGGTTTTTGGGGCAGCCCTCACCCAGCACACGTGGGCTGCAGGGGGTCCTGCACGCACAAACACGGCGGAAGAGACCATGGGATCCACGTGCAGCGTAGACAGAATTTAAATCTGCCTCCAGCCCGGGGATTAGGTTCTGTTATGACTGAGAACAAAGTGGGCAACTCCACCAAACTGATCTGCGACATGGGTCTGGAGAAGGATTTTAGCGGCGGCAGATGGGAGCAAATCACAGCCCACCCCCTGCCAGCTTCTACCCAGGGGGCAGCAAAACTGGGGGGCAGGACATCCCACCTCGCTGCTGCTGGTCACCAACTGGGACTTCTGCGGAGCCCAAACTGGTCCAACAGCTGCATTTCATCCCACAGCTGATGCAAACGAAGCTCTCCTGCACAGCAGCTCCCCATAAGCCCTCGTCAGCATCGCCTGTGTGACCCCCCCGCCCCCCGGCCTGGGGGTGCTGACTTCCCACTGACCTCCTGACCACTGCTGGGAATTCTCATCCATTCCTCCCCAGTGCCTCATCCTGCTTCGATTCAACAAATAAATACAAAAGTGATGTTATGGGAATAACCAGGACCAAGAGCACAAGCGAACTCGCGCGCTCCCAGAAGATGAGAGAATGTTTGCTTTCCTGGAGGAGAGGACGTGTGGATGAAGTCTCACCACATAGCACATCCCTCTCCACCTTCTCCCAACCCCAACTTTCTCCGGCAGGTTTCCCAGCACCAGCTGCTGGTCTCTGCCCCGGTGGTGGGCTGGAGCAAGGGGGATGCTCTGCAGCCTTGGGGGCTCTCCGGGCGGGCGGCAGGGCGCTGGGAAACACCCCTCACCCCATTCCCCATGGAAAACTGGTGTCACACGTTACCCTCGCTAACGCAACACCTTGGCTGAGCAACACAAAGGACATGTAATTAAACTTATTAATGCCTGCCCTTGTTTTCAGACTGTTCTCAGTTTCAACCGGCAGCAGAATTAATTACATTGAAAAGGACTCTGTCAGCTCATACCAGATCCCAAATGTTGTTTTTGCCAGAGCCGACCTGAAGGATGATTTTAACCCGTGACATTCACCTGAGTGCGGGTGTGTGTTTGTTTAACGAGGTGCCACTGCCAAGTCTGTCAGTGACAACCTGCAGGTCCAGCACGGCAGAGCCCGGACACCCACCGGACCCGTAACGTGTGAGAGGAGAGAAACTGCCACGGGGAGCAAAACGCCCCAAGAGCAAGGAACAGAACGGTGATCAGAAGCACTGCCTGAGTTTGAGTAATAAAAAACATTATAAAGAAGCGAAGGGAGTAACTTCTCCCTCCTCCCCACAGCAGGATGGCACCACCATCTTGCTTTTAACAGAAATTGACGCTTCATCTAAAAACCATCACCTTTTCCTAACGCACTGGGCGGGAGCACAGGCGTGAGCAGCACCGTGTGTGCGTGTGTGTGTGCACACCCAGTGTGTGTGTGTGCACACCCGGTGTGTGAGTGTGTGTGTGTGTGTGCACCCCCGCCGAGACCCACCGCCCCACGGCCCCGGCCCGGTTCCCGCAGCACCAGCGGGGTCCTGGAGCCCCGAGACCCCCCCGGGGAACCCCCCCCCGAGGCCCGAGCAAC